TACTGTAATATTACATATTGCAATTACAATATTACAATATTATAAATATTACAGTTGTTTACAACATTGAAAAAAATAAGAGTAATATTTCACAATTTGTTTTGTATTTGTGATTAAATAAATTGAGCCTTGGTGAGCATAAGAAGCTGATTTCAAAAACATAAAAAATCTTACCGACCCCAAACTTTTGAACGGTAGTGTACATTGATGTATTATTATTATGGACCGACTGTAGGTGAGGACTGAAAGAGAAATTAAATTTGAGGCAATACTTAAAACTTAAAACACACATTTTATGCAATCCATTATCAAATATAATTAACAAAACAATTAAAAAATATTTGATAAAATTATATAGTACCTTTCACAAACCCAAGGATGCTTCAGACATGCCAGTAAATAACTGGATAACTGAAACAGGGACAAACAAAACCATAAACAAAGATGCTTGAAACAAGAGCATATAAAGGAAATGAGAAATAAGTCGGAAATGAGAAATAAGTCAAAAATGAGGGACAGATTGATTACAATATCAAGTCAGTATGCATACACTTTTTAAAAACACTGAATAAAAAGATGCGACGAAATTCAATTAAAGTGACAATTTTGACTTGTGGTCATTATTTGTTAAATTTTTCTCTAACTTCAAGAACATCTATGTCATGTAGTTCATACATTTCCCATGAATCAAACTGGTTCATTCAGCTTCTGCATATTGAACAATCTGGCACAAGATCGGCATTCTGGGTATGTAACTGGGCATTGATCGCAGTAACAGTAATTAGATAAAAATCACATAGGGCTATTAGCCTATAAGCATTTACTGATATCACGCTGCTACTACGTAAACACACCACCTGATTATCTGGTTATCTCATGATGTTATCTCAGTGCAGTATCTTAATCAGAGAGTTTTTGGATACAGAAAACTTTGACATCTGATGGTTAACCCCAGATTAACCAGGTCAGAAGCAGAAGCTTCTCTGAGATGCAGGGAATTAAAACAGCCAATTAAAGTGTAAATTGCAGGTAAAATTTTTCACGAAGATAATGCAATGTGCTTACTAAACATAAAGATAAGAACCGCCCACCATTGTTTTTTTTTATGTTTTTTATACCAAAATGCTGAATATAATATGAAAAGTTGGTGCGTTTTACAGTGGTTTTAAGCACGCCCCCTCCCTTCCACTAGGCTGGGCGTGACGTCATAAATGGTACTCCAAGCTTTTACTGTCTATGCTCCAGGCCTGGAGTTACGTTATATTGGAGACCTAGCTAGCAAAAATGGTTAACTATTGTGTTTGTGCGGGATGTACGAATACATCAAAAACGGGGGAGAGGCTCCACAAGTTCCCCAAGGACAAACGGCTGATTCGTGCCTGTAAGTGTTAGCATAACTTACCCGAGGTAGAGCTTAGATCGGGCCCAAAAAAATCAAGCAAGACCCTACCCGAGCCCGCTGTGTCCGAGCCCGGCCCGGCCCTGCCCGACACATTAACTGTAATTATGAGCCCGGTTTAAACCCGACTATTTTTTAATACGTGGGTCGTTATAACTGACGTTCTCAACTACTTTCTATATTACTTTCTCCCGCCCACAACATTTATGTTTTGTCCCGCTCCCACCCGCAAAAAGACTTTTTTTCTGTACCTCCAAATACTTTCAAGTTAGCCTACGTGTCGCCACCATACACATCAGCATACATGCTCCTGATCACTGTTATAACATAAAAGCAAGCGGGCTACTGCGTGCATGGTTTGGCATGACTGCGCGCAAAGTGCGCTCCCATAATAATTCCTAAAAAGCTGACATCAGTTCATCGCGATCTCACACATCTCTGTTATTATCAATGAATCTTCCATAATATATACACTATGTTTGTTATAATTAGAGGATTTGCCAGCATACAGAATTCAGCACTGAACAAAAAGTCCGTTTTGAGCGGTGAGGGGAGTCCATCGTAAATGCTTCTGTTCTGATTGGCCATTATTGCGTTCAAGAAATCAACACATATGTCTGTGATTGGCTACATCGCTCAACGCTGCAGACATGTTAGAAATAGAAACTCTGCCTGTAAACCGTTTCTATTTTGTTTTAGTTGTTCTTATTGCTTTTCTGCAACAGATGAATAAAAATGTATTCGTTTTTATGTTTTATTCATAGATATTTCTAGTTTGCGAGAGTCCCGCAAATCGTTTTATTCTCCCTCAACCGGCACACACAGAGTGAGTGCATTACCGCCCGCGCTCCCTTTTATGATTTCATCACCCAGTTACGGTAAAAAACATGCTAACTTTGAAGAAACCCCAATAAATGTTATTTTAACGCATTTTAAGACAGAAATTTTTACATATATACACGTTGTGCACTTTAATTTACACATTAATTGGTTGTGGTGGTTAACCTGCAATTTACACTTTAAGAACACAACATTTACATTTTCTTCCTATTGTTCGTGCCTGCAGCTGTGACCAAGGAGAGAAAACGTGCCAGTTTTATGCTTTCCATTATCAACCACCATCTACTTCATTTTGCTTCCTCTTATTTACCTCTGAGGTGCCTTTCCTGACATTCTCCTCACTCTTAATGCAGTGGCAATTGGGATGGAATGTGTAAAGGCATCCTGTTTTTCGAGTGGGAGAGACATTAAGGCTGAGCTCAAGGGAGAGATGGACGCTACAGCGGCTGCCATTGTTTCAAATGTCACTATTGTTGGAGGGATAAACCGTGTGAACTTGTAATTTATTGTTTGTGTGTTCAAAAGAAATGGCATCTCTGTTAAAATAAAATAAAAATAAGACAATTTTGTAATAATGTACTCATCGCATAGCTGCAATTAAGCATCACAAAAGTATCATAATGGTTCATATTTTGTGCTGTCTTTTGACCGCACCTTTATTCTGTGATAACTTTTCCATTCAGTGCACACCACGGTTTACTGTTGCAACCATATCATCAGTAACTCAAGAACTAAATCAGTCCGATTCATGAACGAATCATTCAGACTGGTTTTGTGAAACGAATCAAATGATTAATTGAAAAGATTTGACAAATGAATTGTTTGCTCATGAACGTGCCAAGGAGAGGAAGGTAGAAGTCAAGTCAAGATTTACAGTGAATAACTTTCAAAAACCTTTGTTTGTCACATAAATCTGTCATGTGACTTCAGAAGACTCGGAGTAAAGTGTACGAGTCATAAGAACTATTTTATACTTGTATAAAAAAGTACTTATATTTAAACAAGTGTTCAGTAGGAAAAAAAAGATGAGGGTGAGTAAATAATGACAGCTTTTTTATTTTTGGGTGAAATGTTCCTCTAAGGCAGCTTTGCTCTTAAAACATCTCAGGTTCTTTTACTTGTGTTGCTCAATATTTGACAATTAAAAGCAGTTTATAAGGCTTCTCATACCAGCACAATGATGTAATGTTGAAATATTCGTTTTCCTTGGTATAGTGCTCAGTTAAATTGCAGTTATCTCACCATCAGTCATTGCGGCCCATTTATGTGGCTGCATTTCTCACACATACTAAACGCATTTAAATGAGCAGACATGGTGAGAGACCTCAAGGCAATAAATGTTGTACATTTGAATGTCTGGGTTGGAATGATATACCTACAGCAGACCTGCAGACATAACAATGAAGTGTGCAAGATTTTTTTTGTTTGTTTTTTTCAACTTAGATGAACCATAGTCTTAGACTAAAAATAAGAATACAATTTGAGAATAAATACTCGGGATAAGGTCTTAGATTTTGGAAACTAGCCTTACAGTATGTGCACTGTTGGCCTATATAATCTGTCATGACAGGAAGATGGAAACCAGGACTGTTCTCGCATGGCTATTGTGTACACTGTTTTTTTCCCATGCGCTTGTAAGCTTCCTTCCTATTTCACCTGTTCCACAAGAGTCTATCTTTCACATCACAACAACATGTCAATGTGTTCAAATTAATTTTCAACCATGTACACACCCTTTGAGTTCTCATGCCAAGATATTTTGTCAACCGACCGAGGAATAGGCAGTGATCCAGGGCAATTATACGAACCTACGTATGCAAGAGATAATGCCAAGAATGTTTGAACATGAAGTGTAATTGTGGGCTATTTCTTTATTTTCATAAATTATCTGATAATGTCCAACTCCTGCTGGTGAAACAGAGAAAACAAGACTGCAGGGTTACAGAGTTCAGTAGGACACAGAATTAGGGACAGAACAAAAATATAATAATAACAGGTATTTTAAAATTAGCATTTTTTGCTAACAACACATTTGATAGGTCATATCAGAAAACACTTCAGAGTATATTTGAAATAGTATAAATACATCACTTATGGAATATATACATTTCATCATAATATAAAACAGTATAACAAAACCATATTGCTGATATACATAGAGGAATCTATCTCTATTCTTAGCAAATTGAGTAACTTAAAATGATAAATTATTACATTTAAGAGCACAAAATTAATCATAAAGTTCATACATCTTGTGTACACTACATTGTTAGCTCTCTAAAATGTTCCAGTTTTATTCAATAAATAGGAAAGGACTCCAGGAAAGTTTTTTTTGTGTTTTTTTTTTTGTAAGTTTAAATCTATTGTCTATCTTTTGTTCATAACAACAGATTGAACAATATAACTTGAACAACATAACTGTTAAAGGTGAATGGATGTGAAAACAAGTGCACAGTTCATACAAAGTGGTCAACCTTTATATGCGGTATTCCCAGAAAAATCTAATTATTATGTCGACTTCAAAAAAGCTCCATGCAGGTAACACAAGTATTGCTGTTGACCAGTATATGTTGTAATTTGCATGTTGGTTCCCAGCATTGAATGTTAGCTTGCTCTTTTTAAAATGCTCTTTTTTTTACCAAGACTTCTGTGAGCAATCAGCTTAACCAAAAAGACTATGCTAGTCAACCATCTTCACCATGCAGCTAAGATTTGCATGGCTGTGCAACCAGTATTAACAACAAGCATTATACATAACATTCCAACTTAAATGCTCCTGAATTGGTTGGGTGTTTAAAAACCTATTTGCTGTATCCCAAGATGCCGCCCATTTTGGCATGACACTTAATTTGAAACTATTGGTTGTCTCAGGTAAATATGTAATTAACTCATAGATAGGTCATCTTTTGTCTAAAATATTATATATATATATTTCATATATTATATATATTTATATATATGGTCAGCTCCAATGGTACAGATAAATAGTAGAAGTACTGCAGATTCTCACATTCATGGCTCTTCCAACCAAATTTGAATTAGCACTTCGCCTGTCTCTTTTATCTCTGACTGTTCAAACTTGGTGTTTTGGACTAGCTATATCCTGTCAGATACCTTTAGCATAGCCACTTAGCTAATGTCCTGTTTGCATTACAGGACTGTCAATAACACCTAACCCTCTTTTGTGCAGTCCCAGTGTTCAGGTCTGACTTGCCCTCAACTCACAAAGATCTCCTTCACATCTCACAAGCCTTCATCTCTCCTATTCTGTCTTAAACATGCTTCAAAGGCTCTGTTTCCACAGTACTGTCTATGGGGAACGGCGCTTCCAGATCGCAGCGTATATATGTTCTGCTGCCCCAGGTTGCACAAGGGTCATCTTTTGTTCAAGTGCTCGCACTCATATCTCTCCTCCAGGTAAGTTTTTCATTTGTAGCCAGGTTTGGATATCTTTTCCATGACCCTCGCTCTAGCCCTAACCAGGTTCCTGAAAAGTCAGATGAATTTGCTGTAAGTAATGGTGCTAATGAGGACACAATCACAGCTCTTTCAAAGAATAAGGTGTGTAAATTACATGAATTACATGATTTGTGCAATGTGGCCTTACCTAAGGAAGGTTATGGCATCTGACCGAGCCCCAAGGGAGGAAGACTTCCCTAAAACCAGAACTCCTGGACTAGCATTTTCAGAGTTATTTGGGCCGGTCAGGTGATCTGATTTGGGTGTTTCCTGTTTTTCATGCACAGGTTCAGATGGGTGCACCAGCATGATGGCAGGGTTTTCAGAGCTTAGAGAAATGTACACAAAATTTGTCAAAATACATTATTTGCTATAAAGGCATCAAAATAAATTCTGGATTGTTTTAGATGACTGCTATAATGGCTAATAAATCCATTTCAAACGTGTTGAGGAAGCTACTTCAAACCATAGCTACAAGCTAATCACAATTTACAAGTTACAATGGTGAAATGACAGACCTCTCTCTGGTGACATACTGGGCTTCTCTAATCATTTAGTCTGCATTTGGTAGCTAACTATACTGAAGATACTTAAAGGGTTAGTTCACCCAAAAATAAACATTTCTGTCATTAAATACTCACCCACATGTTGTTCCAAACCCGTAAGTCATTCGTTAAGACATCCACATTGGAGAATCATATTTTGTAAATAAAGTGGTAAATTATGTTGGTCCTTGCACAAACAAAGCACTTGCATCATTTTTATAAAATTGAGTTTAAACAAGTGGAGTCATATCTGGGCCTTGAAAGTGGTAATTGTGTAGGCTGTCAATGGAGGGACAGAAAGCTATCGGATTTCATTAAAGTATCTTCATTTGTGTTCCGAAGATTAACAAAAGTCTTACGGGTTTGGAACGGGGTGAGTAATTAATGACAGAATTTGTATTTTTGGGTGAACTAACCTTTTAAGAAGTAAATTCATATAACCAGGACTTTTCAATGCTATATATGAACATTGACCAGGTAAGACAGGTAAAAATTGGTCAAACCCATCTAAACCCAGCCTGCTAAACCAGCTGACCAGGCTGGGAGGTCAGACTAGTTACCAGCTGGTTTCCTTAGGAATCAATAGGAATGTAGTTCAGTTTTTTGTGGCAAGATCAATCTATCTTCTATCTGGTTGTCATATCAACAGATTACAACAACACAACTGCATAGTTTATGAATACATTACAGTGGTCAAAAGCTGATAATGGATAAGACTGCTTTATTGACTATGCAGCCTATCATGATGACAAAGTTTTTTCTTGCGAGTTCAAATAGCAGTCATAGCCTGAAAGCCTTTACTAAAACTCTGATTCATTAGATGAAACTAACTCCAATTCAAAAACACTTCACTTGTCATATCATCTGGATTCTCCAACTGTGTTTGTCTGGTATCACCTCACACCCTAATGACAACTCCGCACCCTAAAAGAGCACACCCTTACAATAAAAATAGCCTTCCAAAGAAGAATACTAATGCATGTGGACATTAATTGACTGCATGTTATGCAGACGTGAGATGGGGTTTACCTGTAGTGGCAGAAGCTGTTGCATGTCCGATCTGCAGGGTTGGTGCAGAAGCAGCGGCCTATAGACCTACGGCGGCGAGCCAACGGACTGCCCAATCCATACACAGTGGTCTTACTGTGGAGGAGACACCCAGAGAGCATACAGTCATTGATTAAACTGTCGCCGTCCCACAGGTGGGACGTTTGCCATTATATTTTTAAAACAATAATATCTTAGCAAAAACCTTAAGTAATATTGACAAACTATACATCATTTGAAAGCTTACAATCTCTAGTTTCCATATTTGGTTTCCATGATTTTCAAAATAAATTACAGAGGAGCCGTAATTTATCAATTTGCAACAAGAATATTTTCATACTCCTAAGGCGTGTTCAGACCTTTATTTTGAAATAGCAATGAACATGAAAAATCATGCAAAAATGGTAGAAACCTCAGTTTGTTTTCATGGCAAGAGTTCAAAAGATAGCATCCATTCAATTATTTTAGAAAAAAAGATCTGAAAATGTTTTAAATATAAAGAAAAAAATAATAAATTCACCATTTGTGGCAGCGAGCTATAACGCACATGCGTGTTCTTTGTATGTGTTTCTTAGAGGTTGAATTCATATCAAAATCTGCCAAACTTCCCATACTACTTCTACATAGGATCTCTACTTCATAAATTGTATGAAAATTGTGGAAATAATGGCTCAGATCACTCAAAACACATATGGAAATGGAGGCGCCCTTATATGGGCAGTAATGGTAATGGTTGTCATCTGAAAAAGTTTGGTACTGCGCCCAAACAAAATCTTACTGAAAGCTAATTTTTTTGAGATATCAACCTAAAATTTTAAACACAAGTTGTTCAGACACTTGTTGTTTTGGCTTTGATTTTTCTGCGGTTTTAGAGTAGCCCAGGTTTTGAAAATATATATTTTCTATAAAATATGAATACTTAATTTTTTTACAATGTACATTTCCATAAACTCAAACTTCTATAACTTTTTTTCTGTTTCACTTTCTTAATTTATTTCACTTCTACAAAAATATGCCAAATGTCTTCTTTAAAACAAGACCAAACTTATGTCTATATTCCAAAGCATTCTTGAATTACAACCATTTAAGTTCAAAATGTGCATTTTCATGTCTATTCAAAAAAAGGGGGGTGACACTTAACAGGTTAACTCATCACAATGGGACTTTGTACTGTTTTAAGCATGAGAATTGTAACCAGTGTCAAAAGTATTCTAGATAAAAAGCAATAAAATGCTCAATAACTCAAAAGTGAATCTTTCTGAACGATATAAAAGCATTCAGTCACAAAGGTGCACTGGCCTAGGAACATGATGTATTCATATGTCCATGATGTTTCTTTTCACACATCGGAGCCTCTAAAGTGTCTTTGTATTGGTTGAACTTCCTTTGTGGTTTACATATGGTTTACACAGGTTAACCCGTGCATAGGTGAGCACTCACCTTGGCGTGTTCACCCAGATGATGTCCAGATGGCAGAAATAATGGCATTCGGAGTCCAGCTGGTTGTTGCAGGAGCAGCGTTTGCTCCTGACCCTATGGGTTTCAGACGGGTCGCTCGGGTCAGTCTGGGGCACTAGAGGCAACCCCCAGCCTATAGAAAAGGAATAGATTGCGGTCCATCAAACTTGCCATAATCATTCTGGGCCAAAAAGTTGAGTCTCAGAGATGATGAGCCTCACCACTTGTTATTATTACACTTTTTTTATTTTGGTTTATACCTCTATTCCCACTGGTCGTTATCTTATGTAATAACGTCTCAGACGTTTGATCTTAATGAGTAGAGGGCAATTATAAAGTTCAAAGCTTTTCACATACATCTTTGCTGAGTTGTCAATTTTGACTTTAATTGGCAATGCTGAGGTGACTGATTAGTACAAAATGAATATGAGCCCCTGTGTTCGCATATTGTTAGACATGTTTAAAATAATAATCAGAACTGAATTCACTATCATTTCTATTATGTTGTCATTTTATTAGGTGCAAACAAATTAGAGTTTAAATGTTTATTCCAAACAGTAAAAATAAATGTAGGAAACCTAAAGATTTTTTTCTGAGAATGAAAATGAAGGTACTTAGAAAATACTTAAAATTTCAAACTTACAGGATTATAATCAAGTAAAGCTATTTAGAATTGAACAAATACTTATTTAAATGTATAAAAAAACACTCATTTATATAAGCCATGTCATATCTATTCTCTTTTGTGTTATCATTAAATAAATATAAATACATACATAATAAATCCCCCAAAATATATATTACAAACACAAAAATGTTTTACCTTCATGAAGAGTTGTGCACAAGGTAAAAATGAAGATCAGAGTAATTCTTGATTCCATGTTGCACATACGTTTCATTACAAAGAATACAATACAAAGCAATTCCAATAGATCTCCCTCTGCTGCAGGTGCTTGTCTAATGTTGAACCGTCCTGTCCCGTACTTATAGTGTATGATATGCACCTCCCCCATAGTTACACAACTCCAGCTTGTCTGCTACATTCTGCACACAAGAATCTCTGCTGCCTCCTCGGCCAGTGGGTCACTGGATTGTTTGGGTGGAACAGACCTGAGGTCCAAGACAATAATGATTGAGAGTAAAAAAAAAAAAACTTCATCTTTCTTACCTCGAATTAAACAATGTGGATCTAAACTGACTAATGGGACTCAGGGGTGAAGGAAAAGAGGAGTCACAGAGTATATCAGCAGATTTGCTGCTTTGCATGAATTCTGTTGTATGCACTTTGCAGGGAAAGACAGTGTCCCATGGAAAGAAGGAACGTTCTGGTGGGTCGCTCCTGTCTGTGAGGTCCAGGTGTGGGTAGACAGTGTGGAAAGTAGCTTCCTGTGCCCTCTGGTCACTATTTGTTTCTGATTACACAAATTAGTCACAGATATGAAAACATAATTCAAAATTCATTTGATTTTTTTGTGTTGCCGCATAGAGGGCCAGCATTAACCAATACATTTCCTTCCGATATTAAATAGCTGCTGTGGCACTTTTTATTAAAAAAAAAGAGATACATTTATGATTCTAACATTTTTGTCACTTGAAAAAGAAATAAAATCTAACTGAAATCAAATATAGCAAAACTTAAACTTAAAACTTAAAAAGTATTCACTTAATTATCATTTTCATTTGTTTAAACTTGAGGTACTAAAAAAAAAAAAAAAAAAAAAAAAAAGACAAAAACAGACACACACACAACAAAATTACTAAAACTGCAACGAAAGTAAAAAAAAAAAAAAAAAAAAAAACTCTAAAAGTATCTCAATGATGCTAAAATAACATTGACAATAATATATATATTAAAGTTCAGTAAGGACCATTACCATGCATGGTCTGATAAAACTAATGTTATTTATATAAAAATTGAAAGTGCAGTAAGACAAATTTGATACAAGCATCTGCCAAATGAATAAATAAGAAGAAAATGTAAGCCTTTCTTATTTGAAATGTCCGTGCAAAATCAGTTTTTGTGTGTTTTTATTAATTGTTGGTTTGGTATGTTTGAGTTGCTGAATAGCCTAGGCTACTATTACACAGGAGCCTAAACTCTGAGAAAACGATAACGTTAAGCGTTTCAAAAAGAATCACTACTTTTTTCAAAAAGAATAATGTAACAAAATAATAATGTAACAAATGTATAATAATAATAACTTAACAAATGTATAATAACACTGTAATAAATGTAATTATATTGTAATAAACGTATAACACTATAATTACATTGTAATAAATGTATTTCTAGAACACAGTTCCAGTAATGGGATTGAATGTGAGATTGAATAACTATACAGGTCCTTCTCAAAAAATTAGCATATTGTGATAAAGTTCATTATTTTCCATAATGTAATGATAAAAATTAAACTTTCGTATATTTTAGATTCATTGCACACCAACTGAAATATTTCAGGTCTTTTATTGTTTTAATACTGATAATTTTGGCATACAGTTCATGAAAACCCAAAATTCCTGTCTCAAAAAATTAGCATATTTCATCCGACCAATAAAAGAAGTGTTTTTAATACAAAAAAAAAAGGTCAACCTACAAATAATTATGTTGAGTTATGCACTCAATAGTCAATACTTGGTCGGGAATCCTTTTGCAGAAATGACTGCTTCAATGCGGCGTGGCATGGAGGCAATCAGCCTGTGGCACTGCTGAGGTGTTATGGAGGCCTAGGATGCTTCGATAGCGGGCTTAAGCTCATCCAGAGTGTTGGGTCTTGCGTTCTCTCAACTTTCTCTTCACAATATCCCACAGATTCTCTATGGGGTTCAGGTCATGAGAGTTGGCAGGCCAATTGAGCACAGTAATACCATGGTCAGTAAACCATTTACCAGTGGTTTTGGCACTGTGAGCAGGTGCCAGGTCGTGCAGAAAAATGAAATCTTCATCTCCATAAAGCTTTTCAGCAGATGGAAGCATGAAGTGCTCCAAAATCTCCTGATAGCTAGCTGCATTGACCCTGCCCTTGATAAAACACAGTGCACCAACACCAGCAGCTGACATGGCACCCCAGACCATCACTGACTGTGGGTACTTGACACTGGACTTCAGGCATTTTGGCATTTCCTTCTCCCCAGTCTTCCTTCAGACTCTGGCACCTTGATTTCCGAATGACATGCAAAACTGAGCAACAGTCCAGTGCTGCTTCTCTGTAGCCCAGGTCAGGCGCTTCTGCCGCTGTTTCTGGTTCAAAAGTGGCTTGACCTGGGGAATGCGGCACCTGTAGCCCATTTCCTGCACACGCCTGTGCACGGTGGCTCTGAATGTTTCTACTCCAGACTCAGTCCACTGCTTCCGCAGGTCCCCCAAGGTCTGGAATCGGTCCTTCTCCACAATCTTCCTCAGGGTCAAAATCATCAGTATTAAAACAATAAAAGACCTGAAATATTTCAGTTGGTGTGCAATGAATCTAAAATATATGAAAGTTTAATTTTTATCATTACATTATGGAAAATAATGAACTTTATCACAATATGCTAATTTTTTTAGAAGGACCTGTACACTATAACTATAAACTATACAGACTGAAACAAATGTATAACATTTTTTAAACTACTTTTTTCAAAAAGAATCGCTACTTTTTTCAAAAAGAATAATGTAACAAAATAATAATGTAACAAATGTATAATAATAATAATGTAATGAATGTATAACACTGTAATAAATGTATAATAACACTGTAACAAATGTATAATTACATTGTAATAAATGTATTACATTGTAATAAACGTATAATTACATTGTAATAAACGTATAATTACATTGTAATAAACGTATAATTACATTGTAATAAATGTATAATAATTGTAATAAATGTATAATAAGACTGTAACAAATGTATAATTACATTTTTTAACACTAATTTCAAAAAGAATTGCTACCTTTTCAAAAAGAATCGATACTTTTTCTAAAAAGAATCGATACTTTTTCCAAAAAGAATCGATAATTTTTCCAAAAAGAATTGCTACTTTTTCCAAAAAGAATCGCTACTTTTTTTAAAAAGAATAATGTAACAAAATAATAATGTAACAAATGTATAATTAAATTTTTTTACACTACTTTTTTCAAAAAGAATCGCTACTTTTTTCAAAAATAATCGATACATTTTCCAAAAATAATCGATACATTTTCCAAAAAGAATCGCTACTTTTTCAAAAAGAATCGCTACTTTTTCCAAAAAAAATAACTATCCATCCATCTTCTTCCGCTTATCCGGGGCCGGGTCGCGGGGGCAGCAGTCTAAGCAGAGATGCCCAGACTTCCCTCTCCCTAGACACTTCCTCCAGCTCTTCCGGGGGGACAACGAGGCGTTCCTAGGCCAGCCGGGAGACATAGTCTCTCCAGTGTGTCCTAGGTCTTCCCCGGGGTCTCCTCCCAGTGGGACGTGCCCGGAACACCTCCCCGGGAAGGCGTCCAGGAGGCATCCGAAACAGATGCCCGAGCCACCTCAGCTGACCCCTCTCGATGTGGAGGAGCAGCGGCTCTACTCTGAGCTCCTCTCGAGTGACCAAGCTTCTCACCCTATCTCTAAGGGATCGCCCAGCCACCCTGCGGAGAAAGCTCATTTCGGCCGCCTGTGTACGGGATCTTGTCCTTTCGGTCATGACCCAAAGCTCATGACCATAGGTGAGAGTAGGAACGTAGATTGACCGGTAAATCGAGAGCTTTGCCTTACGGCTCAGCTCTTTCTTCACCACAACAGACCGGTACATCGACCGCATTACTGCAGAAGCTGCACCGATCCGTCTGTCAATCTCCCGTTCCATCCTTCCCTCACTCGTGAACAAAACCGCAAGATACTTAAACTCCTCCACTTGAGGAAGGATCTCTCCACCAACCTGAAGTGAGCAAGCCGCCCTTTTCCGACTGAGGACCATGGCCTCGGATTAGGAGGTGCTGATTCTCATCCCAGCCGCTTCACACTCGGCTGCAAACCGTCCCAGTGCATGCTGAAGGTCCCGGTGTGAAGGGGCCAACACGACAACATCATCCGCAAAGAGCAGAGACGAAACCCAAACCCGACACCCTCCGGCCCCTGGCTGCGCCTAGAAATTCTGTCCATAAAACAGAACCGGCGACAAAGGGCAGCCCTGCCGGAGTCCATCATGCACCGGGAAGAAGTCTGACTTACTACCGGCAATGCGAACCAAGCTCCTGCTTCGATCATACAGGGACCGGACAGCCCTTAGCAAAGGACCCGGGACCCTATACTCCCGGAGCACCCTCCACAGGCCGCCTCGGGGGACACAGTCGAATGCCTTCTCCAAATCCACAAAGCACATGTGGACTGGTTGGGCAAACTCCCATGAACCCTCCAGCACCCTGTAGAGGGTATAGAGCTGGTCCAGTGTTCCACGGAACCGCACTGTTCCTCCTGAATCCGAGGTTCCACTATCGGCCGTATTCTCCTCTCCAGTACCCTGGCATAGACTTTCCCAGGGAGGCTGAGAAGTGTGATCCCCCTGTAGTTGGAACACACCCTCCGGTCCCCCTTCTTAAAAAGAGGGACCACCACCCCGGTCTGCCATCCCAGAGGCACTGTCCCCACTGCCATGCGATGCTGCAGAGGCGTGTCAGCCAAGACAGCCCCACAACATCCAGAGACTTGAGGTACTCAGGGCGGATCTCATCCACCCCCGGTGCCTTGCCACCAAAGAGTTTCTTGACTACCTCGGTGACCTCAGCTAGGGTGATGGACGAGTCCACCTCTGAGCCCTCAGCCTCTGCTTCCTCAATAGAAGACGTGACGGCGGGATTGAGGAGATCCTCGAAGTATTCCTTCCACCGTCCGACGACATCCCCAGTTGAGGTCAACAGCCGCCCACCTCCACTGTAAACAGCGTTGGTAGGGCACTGTTTCCCTCTCCTGAGGCGCCGGACAGTTTGCCAGAATCTCTTCTAGGCCAGCCGATAGTCCTTCTCCATGGCCTCACCGAA